CCAATTTCAAAAGTGAAGAGGAGGCATAGCTACGAGAGGTAACAATTACTGAACATTGGTCTAACTCCTTTCTTTGAATGATACTAGCAGCTAATGAAGACTGTCTAAGTCGTTCACTTAGTTCATCCCAACCATCAAAGATTATCAGTAATCCTTCTCCATCTCTATCTGAAAACCAATCAACTACTTTTGAAAGTTTGGAACTTTTATATTCAAACAGGTCAGCTAGTGTGGTAGCTGTAACTATCTTGCTATTCCTTAAAGGACAGTAAAGTACCAAGTCATACTGTTGGTGTACAAGTGGTCCATTAGACCACATATTTAACAGTTTACGACAGAGTGTGGTCTTGCCAATACCAGGAGGACCGTCTATTACTACTCTGAGAGACAGAGAACTATCTGTGGGTTGGAGGACATTTTCAACATTTATCTCTTTGTTTCCAGTTAGTTTAACTGTTTTATCAACTTGTCCTCTTAGCAGATGCCAAGCTGATTCTGCTTGTGTGCTGGAGTCTTGTTTTTCTACTAGTGCTAGTCTTCCAAAGAAATCTTTTCCAATTCTTGGTGGCCAGTCTGTAGCAACAATAGGTTGGTGTTTGTAGTGTTGTCTCATATTGTCAGCATATCCTTGAACATCATGAGGTATTGAACTAATGGATGTGACATTATCAGGCATAGACTGACCTAATGTATAAGATATACTGACTATATTGATCACTGATAATGTACACACACACACACACACTCACCTAACTGGTGCAATATAGAGGTAGCAATATCTGTTATTGTACGATGTTGTTGGTTTATTAATACATGACATATATCAATAAGATACTGCTCTGAATTAAGAGAGGATTCCAACTGTTTTTCAATGACATTCATAAGGTTGGCAGCTTTAGTAAAATTATCAACTGCTGGTACAAGCATTTCCTGTTTAGTTTGTTGTGGTATCGGTTCTTTAGCATACAGTGCATATGCTGTTCTTGGAATGTCAATAGAAATGCTATCAACAAGTTTAACAGAATGAGTCCTTAATATATCCTTCGGATTACCTGCAGTAGTGTATCAGTTAATGAGTGTTGTATTAAGTTTATGCTTACCTGTTATAGGACCAGGACTAGCATTACTGGTACTGACTTCCATATAATCATTAGTACTTCTTCCAACTGTGGGATCTGTCACTTTGTCTTCAATAGTTCTAGCTAGTTCATTCTCTTTACATTGTTTCAAAGCATTAATGACATCTCTCCATGATGCTGTAGGATTAACTTGTAACCATCTCTTATGTAAAACCATTTTCATGAGGTGAGCATTCCTTTTCTTTTTATCAATAATATTGACATCAGATTTTGTTATTCCACAAAGACAATTAGCAAATGATTTCCAGTCAACAAGTGGTTTAAGAGACTTTGCAAATAAGAGACAAGATGGCTGATCATCAATCATAGGACCAGGATTGAGTTCAACATCTCCTGATAAGAGGAGGAGCATATGTAGACAAACAATCAAATAGAGATCATTGTAAATCAGGTTAGAACTGCTGCCTCCAGGTAAGACTACTGACTGGAGGTAATTCGTATCAGTAACAGTAACACCAGTAGTACATTGTGCTTGGTAGCAGTTACCTAATAATAAATATACCAGTAAAATACAAGCACTCATCACGTGAACAAAATTGATAGGAAGTGGCTTACATAAATAACACATACATGCTACATAGTTTTCCTTAAGTACAAAATTACAATTTTTGTTCACCTGTTGGGGGAATGATGAAGATGTGTCTTAATAAAGAGAGAGAGAGAAACAGGAGGAGGAGGTAAGCAATAAGAGACAGAGTTGCTGGCAGTTTAGATGTCTTATCTCCTGATGTAGTACTGCCTGACTTGCTGTCTACTGCAGGTTTGAATGAGTGAGAGTGGCGGCCATTAGCTGGTCTACTGGAGGCAGCTTGACAGTAGTTCCACAGCCCAATACTTGCTCTCCATTGAGAGACATCAATCATCTTGTAATTATTAGTAAAGTATAATTAAAATGAACTATAATATACTTACCTCTATCACTGTTAATGATCAACTGTTGTAGGATAAAGAAATGAAAAGATAGATACAGTCAATATAAAGAAGAACAAGTTACAAGCCAATTGTCATGAATTGTGCTGAAGTTGCAAGCTCCTCCTTCCTTATCAATGCCACATCCACTTATGACAGGCTTTGTTTTTTTGCCTACTTTCAACTTATTGTTGAGGTGAAAGTTACTAATTTTAATGCTAGCTATACAGCTTAGAAATAGTAATAGGAATTCATTTAGATCTATGCATAATAAAATCAAACAGCTGACAATTTCAAATAATAATCAAGTAATAATAACAACAACAACAACAACAATACTGAATAATAATGATAATAAGTCAAGTACTATTAGTCCCAGCCAGCACTCTCTCCCTCTCCTCCATTATTCCAATCAGTCGCTGGAAGTGGCAGCTGCTACTGAGGCACTCACTCCGGCTCTAACTGCTCCTTTGGTTGCGTCTCTCACATATTTGTTACCAGCAGCACCTTTGGCAGCCTCAGCAAGCTGCATTATCTAATGTACCCCCAGACAGACGATAATAACGACGAATCTAATAATAACAATAATAATAAATACAATTAATTTATATAATTAGTCTCTACTAATTATTAGTGTTTTTGTTAATTAATGTATGGTGTACTAACTAGGAATATCATGATGGCTGCCCAGGGTACTAATAATAGCCAGAGGAAGGACAGAGCTATCCACATACCACCGATTGGTTTACTAGCCTTGATAACATTAGCACCTGAAATAAGGGGGAGGGGGAGGAGAATCTGTTTATACACAATTACTGTCCAGTAAGAGAGAGAGAGAGAGGGAGGGAGGGGAGAGAGAGAGGATGGTGGGAAAGAGTCTTTTTCGTATAATTATTATTCATCAGCTGCAAGGCTGGTCACCGCGGTGATACAACTGACAGTAGAATTTCTAAAGTTTTGCTCATAATCCAATTAAGTTATTATTGAATTAGCAAGTTATTATACATTACTATGAGCCTCTTCCTTCTCTCTCTCTCTCTCTCTCTCTCTCTTTCTCTCTCTCTCTCTCTCCCTCCCTCCTCCTCACTGGTTCTGTTATTCCTTTATTGTCAGCTGCCCCAAGTGAATCTCCTTCTCTCAATCCAAACTTATTTAACATTTGATGTCCTTTATTACTAGAACTAATGGGGCTGGAGAGAGGGGGAGATTAAATAAAAGTGTGACATTAGATTTAAGAGAGGACACTACACCCAACTCTTGTCGGTAGTCAGACGTCAGAGTGTTGGCCACAGTCGGTTGATGCTCCTAGTCTGCCTACCCGCCTAGGCTTCTTTCCTGGCTATCTACCTAGCATCCCGCCATTGACCCTCTTTTCACGACTCAGAGACACCAATTGTCGTCATACCATGTGACAATATAAACAAACTTTTACAATTACTGTGTTAGCATGAAGCCGTGGTGAACAGCAGGCTAGGCAGTCCAGTCTTGAGAACCGGAACTGGGGGTTAAAACGTTTTTAATGGCCAAACTCTCACCTCCCTGCCTGCCTTAAAAAGCTGTTGTTACCAATAT